CAGGCACTAGGGAAATGTCTGGAGATCTACAAAGATGATACCAGCTAATTATCTGAGCAACGGAGGAGAGGCTACCTTAAATACCCTCCCCTGATTATGAGATTGATGACTGACTTATATGCCTTCATCCAGCAGCTGGTAGAAGTAGAAGCAGACACCCATAACTAATCACTGATCTGAACTGGAACCCAGATGCAGAGAAGGACCAGTGAAGAGCACAGAGGTCCAGACCACGCTGGTCAAACACACAGAAACAGTTGACCTGAACATCCGGGAACTCTTGCTCCCCAGTTTGATAGCTGGAATACCAACATGGGACTGATCCAGAACCAAGGAACATGGGTTTCTGTGAGGAAAGCTCAGAAATCTATGGGACCTCCTGTAGAAGCCCAGTATTTATCCCTAGCATAGGTGTGAACTTTGGGAGCCTATTCCATATAGAGGAATACTCCCTGAGCCAAGACACATGGGGGTGGGCCTAGGCCCTATGCCAAAGGATACAGAAGACTCTGATGATACCCTATGGAAGGTTTCACCATCCAGGGGGAGCAGGAAAGATGTGTGACAGATAAGGTGTTAGTTGGGGGAGGTAGGGGAGGATGGGTGGGAGAAGGGAACTGGAATTGTCATGTAAAACAATCCTGTTTCTAATTCAAATAAAAAAGTTGGAAAAATGTATACATCTAAAAAAAGCAATCTATATATATGACATGAATGAAGAAGTGAAACTATCTGGTGGGACTAATGGGGGGGGGCAGAGAAAAAGGCAGGGAAGGACATATGCCCAATATACAATATATACTTGTTTGAAAATTTCCTTATGCAACACAGTACCATGTTTCATGAATATATACAATGAAAAAAATAATTCTGAATGGTACAATCCAAAATTATTATGTGCAACAAAAATTATATATACTAACCTTTTCATAGTATTTACTGCATCCAAAGCCAAATAGCAACAAATGCCCATGAGAATCTGTACAGGCAAAATGGTTTCCATCTGGTGAAAATTTACAATCAAACACTGCCCCATGACCTTGGCCTTCAATCTGAAATTCAGAGGAGTCTTTTGAGTTACTTTAAGAGTACTTTTCAAATATTAATTAGGCAATAGCTTGTCCTGCCTATTCCCTTGAATTCTGTGATGAATCAACATTCCAATGTACTCTCTGGCTTCTATAGCCAGAACCCTAGAGTAAACAGTAAATCTCTGAAATATAATTATGGAGGATGAAATTGAGGTGAATGCAATGAACAACTGCACCTAACATAATAACTCATGAAATAATAAATGGATGAATGAGGAGAGTTAAAAGGATCTATATGCAACCAAATTGACAAAGGTGCTATTCAAAGTGAAAACATTATTTTTATATCTTAAGCTATAAAACAAGCCTTTAAATAATAATCTTAAAATAATGCATGTAAATAAACTACTAACAAAAGACATAATATTAATGATCTGGATCCATATAAAGTCCATAGAAGCCAGCTCAAAGGTCCATTCACAGATTAGCATTGTTTAGTCAGAACTATTCTTAAGAACTAAATGTGTAAGTTATAATCATGCTCATCATGAAAGAATGATGTTCCAATGAAATCACAACTAATCAATGTTTTTCATAATTTGTATGAGATTTGTACCACAACTGTCTATATCAGTACACAAGAACCTGTTTCAAAAACAAAGAAGTAAGCCATAGCCAGGTATGGCAGTGCACATCTATAATCCTTGCACTCAGGAGGTGATGCAAGCAGATCAGGAGTTAAAGGTCATTATTGGTTACACTGAGAGTTTGAGGCAAACTTGGGCTATAGGAGACACTCTCTTCTCCAACGACAACAATAAAAGAACATGTATATATACTAATATATAGTTTTCAAGTAAGTTGAGGTGTAGATTGGAGACAAATTCATGATTTAGGTTTTTCTTACTTGTATTCCTAAATTGAAATTATAATTTAAACATTGATCTTTTTGGCATTTTAGCTTACATTTTAAATTCAATTGTAATAAATTGGATCGAACAATTCAGTTTGTATGTACATTTCAGAATTTGAAAAATGCTAACACCAAGATAGTAACCATGCTGAAAGATCTAACTCTAAGCCCTTGAGTCATTCTCTGAATTATTTTACCAATTTAAACATAAGATGACAAGATTCTCCTATGTCCTAGGCTACTGGATTATCAAAAAAGGAAAGTGAGATTTAATATGGACTTTATAAACACAGGTTTCTTACCATATTAAAGTAATTTCGAATTTTGGTCCCTCGATCAAGGTCCCAAATAAAAATGTTCCCATCATGACCTGCTGAAAGTATGATCCTTTGATCAAATGGATGTGCTTCTAGAACAAATACTTCATCGTCATGCCCCTGTGATGAAAATCAATATTAGAAATGAAAAGCAACACCAGATGTCTGGCTTACTTGTCCAAAAGATCTTGAGTACTAGAAGTCTAATTGAGACAAATTAATGCATACCAATTGAATAGCATCCACTCATGTGTACTTCAAAAATAAATATTTTAGTTAGTGGTCCTAATGCACAACTGCAGATTGTATAAAACTGATGTCTTAGATAAAAGACACAGAAAGAGAATGCTCACTAACCACTGAAATGCAATTTGGAGATGTAGGACTTCGATAATTTTTTAAAAGCCACAGACAATACAAGAAGCAGGGTGTGATGCCTTATGTACTCCTATCAGTCAAGGCAGGCAATCAGAGGTCTCGCTTGACTATAAAGCTAGTATGAAGCCAGTCAGAATACAAGGCAGGATCTCAAAGTAAAATAAAGGTTGGAGGACAAAGAATGGAAAATCCAACAGAATCTTTCATTACCATCCACTCCTACCACCATGATAAAAGACCTTGACTGGTTTCTGCCTAACTTTCTCATCATGGTATCTGTAGTCTCAGATCTCAAAGGTACAATCTAAACCATATAGTGAAACTTTACCTAAAAAAAAACAATTAGCTGCAGGCTGACTCATAGGTAAAATTCCATTACAGAAACTATCATTAATAACTTAAAGACAACCAAAATTCTTCCCTGTGACTACTAAAACTGTTCTTTCTATTCTATAACTAAGAACCTTGTTAAAAAAATCAATCTGAACAGCCACTATTTTTCAATTTCCTAAAAGAATATTCAATAAACCATAAGTTGATATTGATAATTCAAAGGGTAATGGCATATCAGATCAGATCAGATCAATTTGGATCACACCAGACCAGCTCTGATCACTGTTAGAAGTTTGCATTGGTACATCTTGAACTTCTCATAATCAACCTTTCTTTGATGTAAAGGTATTCTCTTTTAATAAGCTGCAAGGAGAAAATATTGCTTAATGTTTCATTGATTTATAATACCTCATCCAGAACCTTTCAAACAGTAGATGCTCAAGAGGCATTGTTTGAATGGAACAGCTTTATGCCCCACCAAGACCCTGATATAACCTGATACAGCAGAAATGTAAGTACTATATGAAATGAAGAGCTTGGAATTTAGATCAATTGATAAAGTGCTTGCCTAGCACCACACCCCCTGCAGAAAACCATTTATATGATGGCACATGCCTATAATCCTAGCACTTGGGAGATGGAACCAGGAAGAACAGGAAATTCAGGGTCATCATTGGCTAAATAGAAAATTTAAGACTAGCCTATGGTACATGAAACAAAGAAAGAAAAAGAAAATTAAGTAGCTTTGGCTGTTACAAAGACTAATTCTGACAGTAAACTTCAGTGAAAACAGATGACCTATGAGTCAGCCCATAAGTATCACTAAACAAGACTTTTAGGTAATTATGAAGATGGAACTTTACATAGATTTTTAAAAATAACAGCTATAACTCCTGAAGCTGTGAATTTAGAGATACTCATGCTCCATGTCTAACACAGTAGCTACCAGCCATCTGTGGATATTAAGCATCTGAAATATGGGTACTACAAATTGAGATGTTTTATAAGAAGATTTTGCATGCAAAGTGAATGTAAACTGTTTCATTAGCAATTCCTGTATTAGTTCCATGTTGAAATGATAGTATTTTGGATAGTATTTTGGATATACTACATTAGTGAAATTAGTTTCTTCTTTTTAATTTTAACTACTAGAAAAATTGATATATATATGCATATATATGTATACACACACATAATATATATATACTATGAGTATTGATCCAAATGAACACTTTCAATTTAAGAGTAAAGGAAAGAATAGATTAGTTTTTTTTTTTTTACTTGTGTTTGTTAATATATTAACTAGTTGACTGGTGTTGAGACATGATTTTCCTATGTAGCTCAGGTTAACATGGTATTCAATATGTAGCCCAGGCTAGACTCCAATCTATAGAACTTTTTCACCTCAGCATCTTATGTGCTGTGATTGCATAGGGGAAGTTTACCATAATTAGTAGTTAGCAAGATAAAGTAAAGAAAATGAGTTGATTGTAGTCTGAACCCCTGTCATACTATATTATATCCATGTAACATTCACTTGGAATTGTCTCAGTAAAATGCTTATGAATTGATAACTAGAGCAGAGACATTAACTCATAACATGATGACCCGACAAACAACATGTATTCTGCTTGATCCTACAATTGTAGCAGCCTTTTACTATGAGAAATATGCTTTAAAAAGCACTAGCTTTTCTCTTACTTCCTCCTCTTACCTCTACTTCTTATATAAACTGATCACTGAAGATAGAAAATGTAGGATATAACTACAAAATAATAATAAAAAAATCCTAGCCCTTGCTAAAAACTAATTACTGTAAACTTGACGACATACTACCATTGAGAAATGGGTAAATTCTGGACTTAGAAATAATCTTTAAAACATAATTCCTAGCTGTCAGTCCAGAGTCTGTGAGCTCCTATGAGCCAGGTTATTTGTCTTTGTGGGTTACCCCATCATGACATGGATACCCCCCAGCTCCCCATACAATCATTCCTCCTTCTCTTCAACAGCATTCTGGGTGCTTGACCCAGTGCTTGGCTGTGGGTCTCTGCATCTGTTTCCATCAGTTACTGGACAAAGGCTCTCTGATGACAATTAAGGTAGTCACCAATCTGATTACAGGAGATGATCAGTTCAGACACCCTCTCCACTATTGCCAGGAGTCATAGCTGAAGTCATCCTTGTAGATTTGTGAGTGTTTCCCTTGCACCAGGTTTCTACCTGACCCCAAAATGCCACCCATCAAAGTCTCTTTTGATCTTCTCCCCTCCATCCTCTGCCCAACCCAATTCCTCATCTTCTCATCCCTACCATCCCACCGTCTACCCAGGAGATTTCTTGTATTTCCCTTTCCCAGGGACATCTATGCATCCCTGACCCTCCTTGGGACTTCCGTGTTGTCTAGCCCCTCTGGGGGTGTGGATTGTAGCATGGCTATCCTTTACATATATGTGTGACAGTTGTGTGGCTTGATGAACTTGTGTGACTCCTAGCAGTGGGGTCAGGGCCTATCCCTAATGCTTGAGATGGCTTTTGGGAACCTATTCATCATACTGGGTTGCTTTGTCCAGCATTAATTCAAAGTGATGTGTTTAGTCCTACCACAACTTGATGGTTTGCTGACACCCATAGGAAGCTTGCCCTTTCTGAACAGAAACAGAGGAGGAGTGGGTGGTGGGGGATGGGGGGGGAATCTGTGGTCAGGATGTGAAATAAATGAATAAATTTAATAATAATAAAAAGTCATTCCTGCTTTCAGTGGTGGATCATGCATCAGTCCTATCTGGCAGATGTATCAAGAGACTCCCAAGATACGCTCCAAAGGCTAGTATGTCATAGAAAGGAAAGTAAACTTAAATGTCTTGTTCCTAGAATAATGTACTTTGACCTTTTTCATTCTTTTTGGAGACAAGGTCTTACTATACTGCCCAGACTGGTCTCAAACTCCTAGGTTCAAGGAGTCTTCATACCTCAGCCTCCTAAGTGTTGGACCTACAACACACCACTGCACTAGGCTTAAACAGTTTCTTTTCCTAGTAAAATACATAATACTTACAGACAAAGTGTGAAGAAGCTGCCCTGTGACAGAATTCCAAACTTTCAAAAGGAAATTGTTCACTGCAGTAATAACAGTGGTGTCATAACGATCCCAAGCCACCATAGTCACCTTCAGTTTAGTGACTTTGTCTTCTGCGGATGTCAAATTACTCCTAAAGCAAAAATTTGAATACTGGTATCTTGCATATTTTAACAAAAGTAAACACAGAACAGCAAACTATGACAAAATTTTCTAGGAAGATGCAAATGACTATATAAAAATTTAAGAGTATTCATTAAAAAACTGTATCTCACCATAGAAAACTACCCATAAATTGATGGCAGTGAAGGCTAAAGTATATGGTATGTAAATGTGGTTAGCTTTTTGACAATTGGACACAAGTATGAGTCATGTGGGAAGATGGAACCTCCATTGGGAAAACACCTCCATTAGGTCTTTAGGTAAGACTGTACAGCATTTTCTTGACTAACCATTGATGTGGGAGGGCCCAGGCCACTATTAGCAGCACCACTTCTGGGCAGATGGCCCTGGGTAAGAAAGCAGGCTGAGCAAGCTATTCAGAGCAAGCCTAAGTAAGAAGTGTTTGCCATGCCTTCTGCTTCAGTTCCTGTCTCCAGGTTCTTGCCTTGAAATCTTCAGTGATGGAGTATGACCTGGGAGTTTTAAGATGAAATAAGCCCTTTCCTCCCCAAGTTGCTTTTGGCTATGATGTTTAATCACAGCAAAAGAAACAAAACTAATATAATAGTTACTTGGAAGCACAAAAAAAAAGTGAGACCAGAAATGCTGTTTACCTTAAAAAATAAAATTTACGGTATGATCATGTTGGCTGTGAAACAATATAAAAATGTACAAGGGTCATTTTAGCCCCTTAAATATTACTCCTAAAAATAATAGGATTGGCAGTGAAACCCTGTCTCGGAAAAAAAAAGAAACTTTGGTGAAAGCCGATATTGATTAAATGCATATATAATGCTGAGTATAAATGCTAACACTATGAAATATAAGGGAGTCCTCGGTAATTAGGGTAAAAGGTAAACTTATAGTATTCATCAATGCTCTAGTCAATCACCATCAAAGGACAGTTTGCTGAGAGACTGAATAAAAGGGTAGATATCATGCCTAATAATTAATTTCAAACTATTTACTAACATAAAATTATATGCATTATTAAGTATATTGCAGTGCAAAAGAAGATATGCCATGAGAAACCCCCTGAAATATCCAATATGCATTCTTACCCACTCATTTTAGTAGCCATATCTAGCACTATACTCTTCCATTCTTGTTGTTGATATTGCCATATTCTTGCTGTTCCATCTCTACTTCCACTAACAAATCTTAAACTGGAAAAGAGAAGTTAAAAGAACCTTGTTATTTTTTCCAAAGCTCATCACATTTGCTGGATTATAAAATTAATAACCTTCATTCACTACTGAGAAATGTACAACAGTACTTAGAAAACAGTCTGGCAGTTCCTAAAATGCTAAACATAAAGTTACCTTTCGACCCAGCAATACTATTCCAGGTGCACATCCACCAAAACAATGAAAATATTAGTCCATATAAAATGTGTACATGAAGATTCATGGAAAACTCAATAATCACCAAAGCAGAAACAAATGAAATGCTTAACAGTGAATAAAGACAATATGGCATTCATGGAACAGAGTATTATTCAATAATAAAAACTGATGCATTTTATAATGTGGGTGAATACTGAATATGTACAGGTAAGTTTAAGAACAAAGTTGCCCAGTGCTGGGAAAGAGTGCTGATGGACTTGAAGATTCGCAGCTAAGGGGAATGAGCATGTTATAAGGTTAAAGAACATATTTGTTGAAAGATGAACAATGAAGTTTACACTACACTAAAATATACAGAAATTTTTATTATGAGCAACCTTTAATAATTTGTTCACAAGTTTGATACTATGTTTTTCTAATCTTTCAGATGTGCATATAAACAGGATATGTTTGCATGCCTGTTGCACTCAAGAAGATGAGGCAGGAGTATCACAAGTTCAAGGCCAGCACAAACTACATACTAAGAGACTATACGAAAAGAACAAAAACCCATTGGAACATATATATTGACCCATTTCCCCTTTAGGAAACCAAATCCCACCATATACAATGTTATTCACAGCTGTATTTTGTAGATATTAATCTATATTTACAAGTATAAAACTATTTTTTCAGTGAGTGGTCAACTATATGATATAACAAAAATTACTTAAGGAAGCTCATGAAGATTAATAATTATATGATGTCATTGCTTGAAAGAAAATGGGCCCCAAAGGGGGTGACACTATGAGAGGTGTGACCATGTTGTAGTAGGTGTGGTCTTGGTGGAGGAAGTGTGTTAACTTTGGAGATGGCTTTGAGATCTCCTATATGCTCAAGATACCCCCCAGGGTCACAGACCACTTCCTGTTGCCTGCACGATGCAGGACTCTCAGTCTACTTCCTGCTGCCTGAATATCAACATGTAGCAGCACCTTTTCCAGCATCATGTCTGCCTCCCCCGCCCCCCATGCTACTCCTCAGGTCAGGATGACAATGGACTAAACCTCTGAAACTGTAAGCCACCACCTCAATTTAAATGTTTTCCGTTTTAAGGGTTGCTGTGGTCATGGTGTCTCTCCACAGCAATAGAAACCCTAACTAAGATACAATATTTTTTATTTTACAACTTTAATGCTATAAAGAGCATCTCTATCTGTCTTTATACAATCTTATATATTGTACTTAGTCAGAATAGGTACATTTTTAAAAGCTCTTACGTGTACTGCCAAATTATTTCCATGTTTTGAAAAAAATAGGAATCGTAAGAAAAGTTGTAAGAAAGGATCAATTTATAATACTTGATAGATACATTGAGTAGTAAATTCTTAATTATCTTGCAATTTTTTAAAGAAAAATTCTGCTAGTTATTTTTAATGTGTATTTCCTTACTGATAGAATTGGATGGTTTTTCAATTGGAATTGCTTATTTTTATACTAATAAATACAAAGAACTTTTAAGAATGAGCAAAGATTCACCTATGATCCTTTCTTAGAGAAACTAAAGGTCAGCATTTTGATTTTCCATATACATGCATCCATTCATATTTTACATGTTCTGTATGCTTTTTATGCTTTTCACATTTTTAGATTAATATAAGACTTTCATATATTGACTACATGTATTTTTGAAGACTTAGTAACAATGTTTTTTAAATACACATTTACAAATAGACAAGAAATTAAAATGTCAGCATCTTTCAGTAGGAAAAAATGATAATGATAACACGGATGCAGGAGACATGGCTCAGTGGCTAAGAACACATTCTGCTCATATGCCTCCAGCACCCATGCCAGGTAATTCATAAAGGCCTGTAACTTCAGAAGCAGATCTGACCTTCTCTGTGGGCAGCTGTGCAACTGTATTCAAGTTCACATACCACACATTTAGAAACAGAGGGAGAGACAGAGACAGAGAGAAGGAGAGAAGAAAAAGTAAAACTAAGTGCTAGAGAGATGGCTCAGCAGTTAACCTCTAGAAGTTCAATTCCCAGCACCATGTCAGGAGGCTCATAACCTCCTGTTAACTCTACCTTCAGAGGGCATGATCCCTCTAGCCTTCTTAGGCACCCACACTTACTCAAGCATGCACAACACACACACAGTTAAAAATAAAACTAAGGCGGGCGGTGGTGGCGCACACTTTTCATACCAGCACACAGGAGGCAAAGGCAGGAAGATCTCAGTGAGTTGGAGGCCAGCCTGATCTACAGAGCTAGTTCCAGGACAGCCAGAGTTGTTACACAGAGAAATCCTGTCTTGAAAAACCAGAAAAAAAGTAAAAATAAAAGTAAATCTTAGCCAGTTGTTGGTGGCGCACGCCTTTAATCCCAGCTCTCAGGAGGCAGAGGCAGGCGGATCTCTGTGAGTTCAAGGCCAGCCTGGTCTCCAGAGCGAGTGCCAGGATAGGCTCCAAAGCTACACAGAGAAACCCTGTCTCGAAAAACCAAAAAAAGTAAATCTTAAAATATTAATAACTTGTAAGGTTGGCTGAAGAGGTGGCTCAGCAGTTAGAGTCCTTGCTGCTCTTCTAGAGGACCTGGGATTGACTCTTGGCACCCATGTCATGTGGCCCACATCAGCTTGTTACTACAGCTATGGGGGATCCAACCCCCTCTTCTTGTCTATGCAGGCACCCACATATATGTGGTTAACACACAAACACACACATACACACACACACACACATACACACACACACACACACACACACACACATACAAACACATACACACACATAAATAAGAATAAATTTAAAAGTCATTTAAGAATGACAATATGGTTATTAATTTTATTTTACAATTTTTTTCATTCTTAATATAGATAAACTGTGAACTATCATTATTTGCTTTTATAGTTCACAAAAATGGCCAAAATTCATTTTTGTAATTCAGTGTTCAAAAGTACTTAGAAATTTAATAACCACAAGCCAGGCATTGGTGGCACATGCCTTTAATCCCCAGCACTTGGGAGGCAGAGGCAGGCTGATCTCTGTGAGTTTGAGACCAGCCTGGTTTACAAGAGCCAGTTTCCAGGGCAGCCTCCAAAACCACAGAGAGACCCTGTCTTGAAAAGCCAAAACCAAACAAACAAAAAGAAATGTAGTAGTCACTCACAAAGCTGTCATATGGGCATATAGATAAAAATGTATGCTAATTTGATCTACTTTGTATCAAATTTTAGACCACCATAGACTATTACATTTGGGGGGTCAGATATTTTAGAGGGTTCACAGCTATCTGTATCTAAGGTCTGACTTTACAGAGATAAGGAATGTATCTGATGAGTAGTAGAGACGAGTGACACAAATGTTCAGAGAATGTTAAACTAAATATAAAATCTGGAGCCTTTAAGACAGACTGCAAGTAGCACATAAATCTTCCAAGCCAGATGAGACACAGATAAGAAAGAATCAGGAGGGAAAGAAAGGAAGGCAAAGAGACAGAAAAAAAAAAAGGTCAAAAGTGACCAGAAGGGATATAGGACATACAGGAGGGAAAAGGAAATAAGGTAGAAGGTAGGGAATGACATGTATGGCTAGGAAGTATGTGAGGAAAGTCTAAGTAAGCTAATGGATGAGATAATATGAAACTATGGAATAGGGAAAATGCAGAAAGCAACTAGGAAAAATGTACAGATTCACATGAAAAAAGAAGGTAGTTGTCTAAGTTGTACAGAATTTGGAAATGGCATGTTGACATTTAGAATTTATTCCAGAACAACAGAAGAGAAGACGCTAAAAAAAAAAACCTTTGAATAGAACAAATGTTTACTTGTCAGACACATAGTAATCAAATAACAGAATTCTTGATTAAGTTAGGTGGTAAAAGAAAACAGAAAAAGGCAAAGTAAACAAGAAAGAACTTGGGAAGATTAAGAGCTGACAGACTATGGTCACCACTGAGTTAAAAATTCCAAAGAGAGATAAAGCTATCAAGTAGAACAGACATGAACTTTGAACCTAAGTGACTGAACAAAATAGTTATTTTCTGCCTCATGCATGTGTGTATAAGGTAAGAAGGACCTTGAGCTACTGTGTTTAAAGTTATTTCCCAGTGACAGCAGGCAGCATCAGTACAGCCTTCTCCTGTTGCCAAGGACTATACAAAACAATCTCCCTCAACACAAATGCGTCTTTTGTATTTTTAGCTTTAAAATTAGCCAAACAATTCAAGCAACCAAGATCATCTAATAAAAACCTTCAGCAGTTAGTGAAATTAGGGTATAGTAAGGAATCTCCAGAACCAAAGAAGGTGGGTTAGGGTACAAACACATTTCTAGGTGCTACACAGTGATTGTAAACTGAGTTAAAGTACCTTAACTCTGGGGAAGGGGATATCAATACAGATACTTACTCTAGAAAAGGATTTCTAAGTGAGTTTCCTGAGAAGTCAATGTAAGGATGACAACTATATTGGTTTGGAGGGAAAAATAAAAGAAATCAAAATTTCTTTATAAAAAATATGTACTCCATAATTACCTGTCTCCATTGTTACAGAACTGAACAGCAACAACTTTGTCCTAAAACACAGAACAACAGACTTTTGATTAAAATGAACTTATGTGAAAAATAGTGTCCTTCCCCTTAATTTATACCCAAAAGCTTTACATAGTAGATTCTATCGAAATATGATTTTCAATTCTAAAAAAATCACTTTCCTTAGAAAGATATATCATGGAAGCCTCTAACAATGTACAAAGTAAGTTGGTATTACTCTGAATCAAATGAGATATAAACAAATCTCCTTGTAAATCATATCAAGAGATGCATAGCCCTGAATAGTTATCACCATATTACATCCTCCCCCAAGACAACACAGTAATATAAGAAGCCACCTAAGCCAGGCGGTGATGGCCCATGCTGTTGATCCCAGCACTCGGGAGGCAGAGGCAGAGGCAGGCAGATCTCTGTGTGTTCGAGACCAGCCTGGTCTACAAAGTGCTAGTTCCAGGACAGGCTCCAAAGCCACAGAGAAACCCTGTCTCAGAAAAAAAGAAGCCAGCTAAAGACAACTGAGGCCAATGAAATTTCCCAATTGTTTTATTTGTATATCTTGAGAAAACTGTTTATTAACTTCTGTTTTCCACAGGTTTTAAACATTAAGCTGAAATTAATAACTCTTTCACTTTGACAATGAAGCTAAAAATGTACCCATTCTCAGTCTCCAGTTGTCAAACTGCACTTGAACTTCAGTTTTAATAAAACGAGCAAATCCTTCATACTTAATTATTTTAACTTTTAAAACTTATTAAGCTATCTATATATCCACATATGATTGACTTATATTGGTTTATGGTACAGATCAGAAAAGACAAGAGGGGGAGATTAAAAAATAAGGCAATATAAATAAGTTTCTTATTTTGATCTTACCGTGTGTGATTCTAATTCAGCAATTTTCTCTGGTATCTCAGAACCCAAATAGTATATTCTAATAACATGGTCAGTGCTACCTGTTGTAATGAACATACCACCTGGAAGATGAAAAACAGAACAAAACAAAACTTCTTTTACTATTTAATTTGTTTACTTTGTATTAGTAGCAAGCCTTCAAGGAACACAAAATTGTCTTACAAATACTGATGTCATACTAATATTTCAAAGAAAAATAAAATTCAAGAAAAATAAGAGAATTGTGGCTGGGTGTTGGTAGAGCATGCCTTTAATCCCAGCACTCGGGAGGCAGAGGCAGGTGGATCTCTGTGAGTTCCAGTGCCAGGATAGGCTCCAAAGCTACAGAGAAACCCTGTCTTGAAAAGGAGAGGAGAGGAGAGGAGAGGAGAGGAGAGGAGAGAGAGAGAGAGAGAGAGAGAGAGAGAAACAAAGAGAGAGAGAGAGAATTGTGCCAATTAACACAACTAGAATTCTAGCTACTTACTAGGGAGACTACGGCAAAAAGGTTATCAGCTAAAAGTTGGCCAGGGCTTCAGAGTGACTATGTAGCCAGCCTGGGCAATTGAGTGAGAACTTGCACTCAAGTGAGGGCCAATGTGACAACTTAGTGCATTGAGGTGCTCAGGCCTGTGGATCTGAGTTCAATCCTCAAAACCACATAGTAGTGGGAGAAAACTGTCTCCCAAACACTGAACCATGACCTACCCAAATGTGCCATGGCACACACACATATACAACAAATAAATATTAAAAATTAAAGACTTCTGGCTGGGCGTGGTGGTGCATGCCTTTAATTCCAGTACTTGGTAGGCAGGGGCATGCACATCTCTCTGAGTTGGTGACCAGCCTGATCTAGAAAGCAAGTTTCAGGACAGCCAGAGCTGTTACACAGAAAAACCCTGTCTTAGGGAAGGAAAAAAAAGACCTACAGGTTTAAAAAGTTAAAAATTAATAAATAAATGAGTAAGTGAAAATGAATATAGAAGATTGTGGGTCTAGTTCAGTGGCTGAGTGTTTGCCTATCATGTTCAAGGCCTGAGTTCCAATTCTCATTACCATAGAAGACAAAGACAAAGAAAAAGACAGATGTATTTAAGATAAATATATCCTTCACCTAACAAAATTGACCAATTATACATTAAACATAGGCTTATTGATTAAAAACAATAAAGGTCAAAGCTTTTAAGAATTAACTCTATATTTTATATAGAAATACTATGCCAAAACTCTAAAAATATTTACACTTACAATTACCCCACATCTTATATATGAAGCTACAACTGTGTACACTTTGCATAAAGTTAAGCTAGGAATTTGGTTAATGGGTATTTGGGCTAGGGACTGTTTATTCTTGCCAAATACAACCAGCTATACATAACCATAACATGTATTAAATTAAATTAAGAAAACTATTACTAGGTGCTAATTAATCAAACTGGTTCATGTAGCATATAACACATGGTTTTTAACTTTGGTAGGTTTTACTTTCTTCCATACATAATTTTTCTTCATAAAAAAATTAAATCAGCGGGCAGTGGTGGCTCATGCCTTTAATCTCACCACTTGGGAGGCAGAGGCAGGCAGATCTCGCTAAGTTCGAGGCCAGCCTAGTCTTCAAAGAGAGTTCCAGGAGAGCCTCCAAACCTACAGAGAAACCTTGTCTCAAAAAAACAAAACAAAATAAAAATTTAAATCAATCTTTTCTATATGGATGATTTTGAGTACTAAAAGCATTAAATTTTGATACATACCAGAACTGAAAGATGAACAAGATATCTGAACTCCAGGTCTGGATCTCTCAGTAAATTTTACTGGGCGATCTCTAAAGAATAAAAAAAATGTTTTTAATTCTATCAGGCTCATCTAATGGGCAAAAATCTTAGCACACTGATGAATATTGATCTACTTAGCATCAATATTATTTTTTAAAAGCTAAAGGAAAGAATCCAATACAGCTATTATCATATTTTCAGTTAGAAGTTTTTAAACCCTATAAATATAATTTATGAATCAGATGTTGACAATAGTTTTTGCAAACATATTGCTGTTATTTAATGCCATTATTATAAAATGTCCAAATACATCTTACCACACTTCCATATAAATTTCATAGCCTCAATATTGATTTTATAAAAAATTTATTTAAAAATCTCTAAACATAAAAATAAGTATGGATATAAATATACACAGGCGTATATATACTTGTACATACTTTAACACTTGAACTATTATATCACCACGTTAATAAAATATAAGCAAATTGAGTTTTCACAAATTGCTAAAATTTATTTAAACTTACCTAAACTTCATTGTTTTTACATGCCATTGCCAGAAACAAATTGTTCCATCAGCACCAGTAGAAGTGAGGTATCTAGTTGTGCCTTTAGTTGATGGACAAAACTTAAAAAGAAGAATTCAAATAAAAGATAAAGTTTGCCTGTTCAAACTATTTTGTACAAACATAAAATATAAATAAGTCATTTAAGAATTTCAGTATCAGTCCAGTGAGATGGCTGAGTGAGTAAATGTGTTTGTCAAAATGCCTGAGATCATGAGTCACAGAATCCAGACAGTTGTGCAGACCTTCACACGTATGCTGTAGCACATACATGCCTGAAGCTCACATGTACACAAAAATAACATACACACAAAGTGAAAAGAATTTCAGTATCAGAGTTTTTGTTCCTTAAATTACATAGATAAATGGATACTTATCAAAACTTCTCAAATAATAAAACCTATAGAAAATAGCAATTGAGGGGCTGGAGAGATGATGGCTTAGTAGTTAATACTTCCTACTCTTCCAGAAGACCTAGTTTTGGTCCTCAGCACCCACATTGGGTGTTTTACCACCTCTTGAAACTCCAGTTTGAGAGTAACCAATGCCTTTTTCTGGCCCTCTCAGGCACTGCACACATACACTCAGCGCCCCTTCCCTGCACATACACATAAGAAAACTAAAAATCTTAAAATTGAAAGTAATAATTAAAACTGACATAAAATATTTCACTACTAATGTTTTAAATAATTTAACACTTTAAGAATATTTTAATGGGGAATAAATTCATAAATGCATTACTAAATCACAACAAATGTCGAAAATATATGTTCATAAGAAAGAACTATGGATTTTTTTAGATAAAGTTTTGCCACGTAGCACTAGCAAGTTTACATCTTACTATGTAGATTGGCTGGCCCTGCACTTACCTCTACCTACAAAATGCTGGGATTACAGGTTATGTCACCATACTCAGCTGAATTTTGCCTTTTTAAAATTGAAATCATTCTCCATTTTTTTCTTGAATAAAATTAAATTTATTCATATCATTTCAGTATAAACAGATTGAGAATATATACATGTAGGTAAGTTGGCAATATAAAGAATTATAAATATCCTCAATGGAACACAGATTTTGTAATAATATATTTCTCAGACCCTGACTCTTGGTATTTTATATCTCCCCAGAAGAGAATCAGAGATGGGAGGAACCATCAGTCTCCAAGATGGCTAGGAAACAGGAAAAAGTTCAAAATCAGACCCTATTTTCCAGTATGGCTATGAATTTTACAATCAAACCTGATGGCCAGAGAATATAGCTCAGTGGTAGAATAACTGAGTAACATGCACAAGGCCCTGGGTTCAATCCTTAATACCAAAATAAAAATCCCAAGTGGAGATAATAATTTCCATTGAGATATTAAGGATTAATATACCTAAGAATGATAGTTTAAACTCAAATCAAAATAAATCAATCATTATACATATTAAAATTAATTTAATTAGTTCAATCTAAAGACTTTAAGTTTGAAATAAGAATGTTCCATTAATATTATCTATTAGCACCTAATAAAGAAAACCAAGATTCAGATAGTGTACCTTTTATATGGTTTAGATCCTCAGATAAAGAAATTTGTATTACAAAGCTTAATATGTAATCTAAAGCAGGAGTCAACAAATTATCCCCCACATATGACATTCCGGTTGCTGACTCTTTGTATAAATAAGATTTAATGGAACATAGTAACCTTATACTGTCTATGGCTATTTTATCAATTGTACGAACAAAGTTGAGTAATTTGACAAAGACTTCATGCTCTGCAAAATCTAAAATATTTACCAACCAGTCTGTGAATTTGCTGCAGATCTGTTACCCATAGGAATGGGAATATAATCTGAGAATTGCATTGTCTCAAAAAATTCTAAAACCTTTATTATGCCCATTAATTTTAAATTGCTTTATCACATGTTGACGTGTGTTGCTATGCATTAAATATATTATCTTATTTGCTAAATAATGTTAGAGATTGCTGATAGAAGCACATATATTTTTTTCTTTTTGAGACAGGGTATCTCTATTTAGTCCTAGCTGTTTTAGAATTCCCTACGTAGACCAGGTTGGCCTCAAAACTCACAGCGACCCTCTTGTCGCTAACTCCTAGGAATAAAGGCATGTGTGACCATGCCTGGCATGAAAGAAAGCCCATATATTTCTAACACATACATTGATAAAACTCTTTTAGAAAACTGAGCAAAAATAAACAGCATAAAAGGAACCTGAATTTCTATCATTCTATGGCAACCACTATTAATATTATCACTTTATTTCAATGTTATATATAAAAGAAAGGAGATAAATTGGGAGGTTGATACTCTTCGAATGAAAGAACAGTTAATAAATCCCTGATGTCCCTCCTCAGAAAGGTTCCATCATCTTTAATAACCTACTTTGTAGACCAAACCTTTAATATGTAGACTTTTGTGGAGACATACAATATACTAACTATAGTATCTTCTGAACATATGGTGATTTCATGATTTTAATTATTTCAGCATACAGGAGTACTGTGTTTACATCATTGTTGCCCCTCCCTCCAACCCTTCCTGTGCCACCCTCTCAAAGAATTATTATTTACAGCATGAAGCCATATAGACAAGGGGTAGTTGTAGAGCATGCATTAAGCCATTCCAAATTTATATATGATGCTGTGAGCTAAGAAGGCCCTCTTTAATTTGTAAGAAATGACAAAAATTGTTGGGATCAAATTTGAGGGAGAAAATTAAATTTTGAGACATCTATAGACATTCATGTAATGATGCTAAATACACAGTTGAATAGGCAAAAACATAGCTATAAGATGGGTCCAAGATGAGGATATTTGTGTTATCAGTTTAATCAGCATATAGATGAAATTCAAATGTCAAATAGTATCATTAAGGACAGGTGTAAAATTTTTCAAAGTTCAAAGCTATATATTACACCTCAAAACAATCCACATAATAATTTAACTAATCAAAATTTTAGTTAAATTTTTTCATTCAATACAGAATGAGCACACTTTCCGCTAGATCCCTATAACTAAGTGATATGTTATTAAAATAGCACACAAACAGAACTATTATCTCTATGTAAAAGCTTAAAAGATTTTTTCTTTGATGAAACAGAATGGTAAAACTTCAGCTTCAACTTCAGCTTCGTATTGTTAAGTGCAATGGCTTTTAATATGTCAAGCACTTTCACTACCAAGATTTACTCAAAATATTATATGAACAATATATTTTATATCAAATATGAAACTGAACAAAAAACACTGAAACTAAAAATATAAAAGTTTCTTCCTCATATTAAAACTACATGTACACACACATACTAAATCTGGCAAATATCATGAATTAAATATTAACAGAGTATGCCAATATTCGTATTAGAACCCGTGTATATCCTCATTAACAGGTACAATGTGCAAGCAAGCATTCACAAGTATAATCCCTTCTTCACATATACACAAAGATAAATTTGTTGTCTCATGCTGGATTTGAAGTACCTTCTCCATTATGTTTTTTATTTATTTATTTCTACAGGCACAGGTTTATACAAAAAGGAAAAAATAAAAATATTTCTCTGCAGAAGAGAAGCAAAGCTCTAGGAGAGCATTTTCTGTTGTCATTTGTTGTGCTGTTAACTATATAATATATATCCATGTAATATATAATACATTCATAATCCAAATAAAATACTGAGCTTTATTAATATGTCAGAGGTCGTATCATCATTCTCACCTGTATGGAAGTAATAGAAGCTGAATGTCCCTGAAGGACAGCAACTGGTGCACAAGTTCGAAGACACCATACTCTCACAACTTTATCACAGCTGCCTGCAGCAATGAGAGTGTTTTCATAGTTAACAGCCATGTCAGAAATTTCAGCAGAGTGCCCTCGCAGTGTAGCCAGGAGGCGTCCATCATCTGTAGCCCAGATTTTCACCAAACAGTCATCTGAACCCTGCAGTAACACAAAAGACAGAAGATTTATAATAATGAAACAGAAACTTGCCATTTACAGCCAGAAGGAAGGCAACATTACAAAGCAAAGATTTTATTAAGGAAAACTATGTGGACCCAGTATTAAATATAAGCATAGTTTAAATGATAGCACTAAGTATTATCCAAACAGTGGCATTTGTGACAGTCTTCAAAACCGGTAATCCTAAAAATATTTAAATATATTATGCATATACTTAAGTGACTAGGTATTAAGCCATTTCTGCCGTTGCTTCTTCCTGTATGCCTAGCAGCCTCTGGCTTCATTGTCTTAATAATTTTTTTCTGAAAATATTTCAAAATTTAAGTCTATAATCTAAATTGATTTCTCTGGAAACCCAAAGGCCATTAATAATCCCTAGTGAAAATCTTTATGTTGCATTTCCCTTTAAGAATCCCAAATGAGTTTTAAATATAGTAAAATGAATTCTATTCTAACATGGTAAAGTAATTAACCTATTTATTAAAAGAACGCATGCACCATTATTATATCATCATATTCAGAGATAAGTCATCGCAGAAAATTCTACAATACAACCTAAGGAGTTATTATTTCTCAAAACATAAAGTACTTCCTTTGTTGAAGGCTATAAATAGAAAATTGAAATTGTGCTACTTCTCTCACCTCTTGCTATCAGTAATGAAGCAATCGCATCAGTATTTTTAGACATATTATTGTTATAGCTTTTACTCAAAAGCAAAGAACATGACTTAGTAAAACTTAAAATTGAGCTTTTAAAAATAACCAACACTAAAATCAAAGAAAATATCTAGTGTAAGTACAATTCTCATCAGTGTAGGATTTAACTATTTAACTATTTAATATTAACTATTTAATATTGAAGGTGATATAATTATTAAAACCAAATTTGCAGCAATTACACATGGAAAATGCCTTTTAATAAAAGCCCATTTAACAGAATAAAACAGAGTATATTTGTTTCATATAAATTAACCATCTTGAGTTTATATACACTTCTGAAGACATAATTTTTAAATAAATTTCTCAAAAGATAGTGGATACTTCATTTATATAAAATGAGAAATTATTTACAATTTCAACACACCTTTTCTTGCATTAATAAGTCCAAATAGAATGAACTACTGATAAAGTATAATACAATGGACGGAATAAAGTCTTGATTCAGTTGTGAATGTAAAATGTTACATGTCATAAATGTTTAACTCACTGTGAAAATTCGCCTCCCAGTTCGATCAAATGCTACACAGTAGACAGAAGATAAGTGTCCCAGAATTCTTTTATGCATCTTGATGTGCTGGTAAGCAGATGAGGGGAAAACATGGCTGAAGCGACTACATCCGGTTAATTGCCTGGCTGAGGTGATATTCACTGCAAATAAAATGAAACAGAAGAATGAATCTTAAAACCTAAAAGTTAAACTTAGGCCAGGCGGTGGTGGCACGTGCCTTTAATCCCAGCACTCAGGAGGCAGAGGCTGGCAGATCTCTGAGAGTTCGAGACCAGCCTGGTCTACAAGAGCTAGTTCCAGGACAGCCTCCAATGCCATAGAAAATCCCTGTCTCAAAACCTTCCCCCAAAAAAGTGAAACTTACTTTATGAAAATGTAACTATTAAAACAAGACAAAATAGGGTATACCTGCCATACCAATTCCACAAAAATGAGAGGTCTAAATTCCCTTAAGCATTTCATTATTTTCTAAACTCAACAGTACTAACAATACTGTTCAATAGTACTAACAACACGGTACTGTTAGGTCATAGGGGTCTAGTACTCTACTTGGCTTTCTGTGTTTTCTCAAGCATTCTCTTTTCCCTTTCTATGACATTGCATAGGTGTTAAGCAGCAGAACAAACAAACATATATATAAAATGTCTTTTCTGATTATCAGTTCTCACTTTTTGGATTCTAACTATAGAGTTTCTTCCACTAGTTTATTCTCATTGGACTTTTGAGGTTTTATCTCTTTCTCTCTCACAAACATGCATGCACACATATATACACAAAACAGTAACAAATAAAAAATAAGTATGTGTAATTTTAAAAATTGCCAAGATTGTAATATAACCTGAACAGCTCAACAAATACCACCTAGATTCTGTTCACTTCTAAAATAGAGATCTTGCTTCTAACATAAGGATTTTATTCATAACGTCGAGTCTCTGTATATTCAAAGTCACCTTGAGGAAAAGGGCATCTTAGCACACTGCAAAAACTGTGTGATACAAACAATAACAATTCTATCTTTAAGTACAGCAAAATTAAAGCAAAAGTCCAGTTCTTGCTAGATTAGTATAATTAGAACCATGCCACAATAGAAGTATGAAATTTTTTTAGTGGCTTAGTATATAAATAGGTATAATGTCTACCTTTCAGGAAAAAGGTACAAATATTGGCCACTTTAAAATGGCAAAATGACAAAACTATGAATTATGAATGTCATAATCAGAAAACTTTGAAAGCACATCATTAGAACATATTAGAGATCTGAACACATATACTACAAGACAATGAATAAATGAATAATGGTTAAAAAATATAAATGACAGAAAATTCATAAGGCATTGGCCATACCTTTTCAAACATTAACTTTTAACCTGCCAAAGATTGGCCCATTAACATTCTACAACAGATGAAGAGGGATTCATGAGATCCCACCCCTCCTTCAGGAGCTATTGGCAGTCAAGGGTTGCAAGGGGAGATGTTATTTTCTTCAATGGTCTAGGCATGACACACTTTTCATGCTCCTGTAAACACTGCCTCCCCATGCTCATACAATCAACCCCAATTAACTCAGCGTGTCACAAACAAAACAAAGCAAAACAAAAGTCAAAACACTGGACAAAACATGAAAATAGGAGAGGGACTTGTTGGGAAGGCAGACTGCCAAAAATACATTATTTCATACAATACACATGGATGAAATCATCAAGGAATAGAAAACTTTCAGGCATGAGTCACTACTATTCACTTGATCTTTTGTTTTGTCTTTATAGCCATTTTTGTCTATTTCTGTTCTTCATTATTTCCTTTCTTCTAAGAAATTTAGGGTTACTTTAGTCTTATTTTTTCAGTTCAGTGAGGTGTTTCAGTATAGACATGGATCTTTTATATAGACATGTATTGCAATAATCTATTCTCTGGACTATATTTGTAGCATATGGTAAGTTTGGTATCATTCCTCCACATACAGATGGAATATCTCTCATACAAAATGCTTATAAAAACAAATATTTACAATTACAGATAGGGGGTCGGGTTTCATGCATATAAATTATGAGATATCCTGAGGATGAGATTGAAACTTTACACAAAAATTAATTTTTGTGTATATACCTTATACATATACACTGAATATTTTATATTTTTAGTAGGATTGAATTCTTTTTTCTCTCCCTAGAATTTTTAATTTAAAGTCTATTTTGGCTAACATATATAGCTACTCCTATTTCTGTTTAATTTCCCATTAGAATGTAATATATTTTTGACTACATCTCATTAGAAGTATAGTGATTCATCTCTCTGCAATATAAAGTTGAGTATTTTTATGTAGTCAACCAGTTGATAAGAAAAATGACCATTATATCCAAAGTAATTTATAGAATCAAGTCAATCATTGTCAAAATCCCAATGACATTTCTCATAGAAGTAAGAAATAATCCTAAATCCAAATGGAACTACAAAATTTCTCAATTGTCAAAGGATTTTAGAGCAGGAAGAGTAAAGCATAAGCCATTATGGATTACAAAATACATTATAAAGCTATGATAAACAAAATAGCATGGTTCTAGCATAGAAACAATATAGTGATCAACACAAAAGGGTAGGACATTCAATAATAAGGATTTAAAATAAATTGACACTCAATAAATGTTCAAAACACAAACAATGGGAAGAGGATAAATACATCATTAAATGTTGTTAGGGAAACAGGATATCCACATGCAAAAGAATTGGACATATCACATACAAAAATGAACTCAACATGGGTCAGTGACTTATATGTAAGCACCAAAACTATAAAGCTACTAAAACATACTTTGTACAGCACTCCAAAAACATAGGAACAAATGAGAGTACATCAAATTTAAAAAAACTCTACATCACAGTTCACAAATGAAGAGATCACCCACAGATTAAGAGAAAGAATGTGCAAATCACATATCTGATGAAATGTTAGTATCCAAATCACATAAGGATTACAAAGAATTCAAAGAACTTGACAACAAAACTCTGAAAATGGGCAATGAACCTGAAAAGGCATTTCTCAAATGAAGATGGAAAAAACAGCAACAAGAAAGTAAGTGCAGGGCAGTGGGATAAAGGTGCTTGTTTCCAAGCTTGAGGACCTGAATTCAATCCCATTAAAAAGAAAGCACTGATTGCCAAAAATTGTCCTTTAATTGATATACCTTGTGAAAACACACACACACACACACACACACACACACACACACACACACACACACACACACTAAATAAGTGTTAAGAATACATGTTAAGAGTGTGAATATCACTTTTCAGAATAGTATAGAGGTTCCTCAAAAAAAATGATGAAGTACCATATAAGGATTATATCCTACAATCTTACTTCTATAAATTAATTTGAAAGAATTGATATTGTTATGATGAAGAAATATCTGGACTACCATGTTCACTTCAGCATCATTCACAAGAGCCAAGTTATGGAAGATGTCTAGGCTTCAATAGATGAGTAGACAAAGAAGATACATGTATACACAAAGAAATACCATGTATGAGTGGGACTGAAGGACACTGTAGTAAACAGAGTAATTCATACACAAAAAGATAAAGCACGATCACATTTATGTGTGTAATCTAAATAATTTGATATAATAGTGACTGGGGGCATAGGAAACATTCAAGTATATATTTACAGGAAAATGGCTTTATGAAACATGTACTATATGAAATGAACAGGTGCCAATAGAAATAAGAATAAATATTAGAGAACCTAGTAACACAAACAGATTCTTTCTTAGTAGGTATATGAAAGCTTCTAATAATCCCCTCTTTTGTTTCTAGAAATACAAACTAATTACTTGTTGGATAGACTTGTGCAAATTTTTTTCTGGAGTAAAAGTTAAAAGTCACCACTTTCTAGTTTCTGAAACTTTTCCTTCCATGTGCATGCTTGCCCACTGGCTTGTTTCCATTTGTCCTGTCTAATTTGGCTTCATAAAGATTATCTGCCATTGAAAATAACTTTAGTAAGGTAAGCCTTTTTAAAAGCTAGATACTCATATATCATTTCTTGTTGACTGAGAAAATAAGAATGCTCATTTCTATATCTTACATTTTAGACATATTAACCTATTTCCTGATAAATAATCTACAGGTTTTAAGCATTGTTGAACTAATCTCAGAAGTTAAGAATACTAAATAATTGCTGGGCGGTGGTGGCATACTCCTTTAATCCCAGCACTTGGAAGCCAGAGGCAGGCAGTTCTCTGTGAGTTCAAATCCAGCCTGGTCTATAAGAGCTTAGTTCCAGGACAGCCTCCAAAACCACAGAGAAACCCTGTCTTAAGAAAAATAAAAAATAAAAAATACTAAATAATCTTTAAAGTAACAGGTAAATGTCGTAATTTGAAGTCTATGACAGTACACATACATCAGACTATTAATAGAGCATTTTACATGCTTAAGTCCCTCTTGATGCAGCTGAGAATCAAACGTAGATCTTACGTTACATATGCACCTGTACATCTAAGACATACTCCCAGTCCTTAAATTCTGTCTTTGTGTGTGGTAGGTAGGGTAGTGTCTCATAGCTCAGAGTAGCTTGGAACTTGCTATATAACCAAGGCTGTCTTGAAATGCTCATCCTACTGCTTCTTCCAACAAGTTCTGGGATTATAGGCATGTGCCCACCAAGCCAAGTATACTTTAGGCCTCAAGAATAGTAGGCAAGTAAACATTCTATCAACGGAGTTGACTCCTAGCACCTAATTTCCTTTTCTCCCAAAGTTATTATTTGATATACAATAATCTAAGTTAATAAAGTTTAAACTTAAATGACTTCATTTAGTCTTTGTGTGTGAGTTTGTGGAGGGTGAGGTACTAAGGATTAAAACTAGGGCCACATTTGTTATAGGCCAGCACTGTACCATTTGAGTTATATCACAACTGCCTTTTTCCACATTTTATGTTTGGGACAAGATTTCAGTACAGTACTCTGAACTCACTCTGAGCCTCAGCAGGCCTTGAACTTGCCAATCATTTACCTCAGCCTCCAAGTAGCTAGGATTACAACAGGCTTATGACACCCGATGGCACACTGAATTATTATAAGAATATGAGATTCTTGGGTTGGGTATATAGCTCAGTTGGTAGAGTGCTTGCCTAG